TATATATATATAAAAAAGAAACTATTTAACAAAATAATGGGAGCATGCCAAAGGATATAGGAGCTAATTGGCTGAAAAAAATAAAGGGATGGGGGCGGGGATATGGAGGAAATGCTGGAATCAGAAAATCATTTTTCAGCCATTGTGGTAATGATTAGCACCTGGTAAGAATCATCAACAGGCGCTCAGTCTAAAGATAATTTTTTTAAAGATTCATTTATTTTTTTGACAGGCAGAATAATAGAAAGAGAGAGAGAGCTAAAGACAAAGAGAGAGCTTCCATCTCTTGGCCCACCCCTCAAATGGCTGCACTGGTCAGGGCTGGGCCAGGCCAAAGCTGGGATCCATGAACTTCATTTGGGATTCCCATGTGGGTAGCAGGGCCCAAGTACTTGGGCTATCCTTGCTGCCTTCCAGGTACACCAGCGGGGAGTTGGATATGAAGTGAAGCAGACAGGACCAGAACCAGCAGCCACATGAGGTGCTGGCATCGCAGGTGGCACCCTAACCCACTGGGGAAATTTTAATGAGCAGAATATATGTCTTAGAGTATTTCCTGACAGGCAATTTGTTAGTGAAAGGAAGAAGGAAAAAACAGTAAAATACAGTGATGAAATCAGTTGACCAAGTGATCAGAATGAACATTACCCATGAGGGACACAGATGCTATACCCTAAGAAGAACACAAGATCACCTAAGCAGTATTCTTCCCATAGTCTATTTGTGAGGAAACATTCTACAAAATAAGAATGTGTGGAGGGAGTTACTATATTCTTCAGAAGTTTTGTAGTCAACTTTATAGAGACAATGGGAAATTTGTGATGAATGGATAATGAGTTTTGGTGGAAGAAGATGAAAATGTCCTGGAGATGGATGGTGGTTATGGTACAATATGTATATGAATGTACTTAATGCCATAGAACTGTAGACTTAAAAATGGTTAAAATTGTCAAATTTTACTATCATAAATATATTAATTTTAATATATTTATAAAATAAACATAAATATAATTATACTATAATGTATTAATTAAACTATAAACATATCATTTTTAAACGGCATGTTTGGGGCAGGTGTTGTGACACAGTGGGTCAAGTGCCACTTCGCACACTACATCCCATATCAGGGTGTCTGGGTTTGAGTTCCACCTCTGCTTCCAGTCATTTCCTGCTGATGCACAGCCTGGAAGGCAGCAAATGGTGGTTCAAGTACCTGGATCCCTGCCACCTACGTGGGAGATCTGGATGGATTTCCTGGCTCCTGGCTTCAGCCTGGCCCAGCCTGGCCCAGCCCTGACTGTTGCAGCATTTGGAGAGTGAACCAGCAGATAGAAGATTTCCCTCTCGTAAATGTTGGGGAACTGTTCCAGATTAAAGGATATTAAGATGACAAGTTAACTAAACCTGACTCAGCAGTAGCTCCTATATTGGGAGGGAAAGAATACTGTGGAGTACATTATGACAAAATTGGAATGTGGATGGTAAAGAATTATATCAAGGGGCTGGTGCTGTGACATAGTGGGTAAAGCTGCCGCCCGAAGTGCTGGCATCCCATATGGGAGCCGGTTCGAGACCTGGCTTCAGCCGACGCTGTGGCTCACTAGGCTAATCCTCTGCCTGCAGCTCCAGCACCCCGGGTTCTAGTCCTGGTTGCTCCTTTTCCAGTCCAGCTCTCTGCTGTGGCCCAGGAGTGCAGTGGAGGATGGCCCAGGTCCTTGGGCCCTGCACCAGCATGGGAGACCAGGAGGAAGCACCTGGCTCCTGGCTTCGGATCGGTGCAGCGTGCCGGCTGTAACAGCCACTTGGGGGTGAACCAACGGAAAAAGGAAGACCTTTTTCTCTGTCTCTCTATCTCTCACTGTCTAACTCTGCCTGTTAAAAAAAAAAAAAAAAAAAAAGACCTGGCTTCTCCACTTCCTATCCAGCTCTCTGCTGTGGCCTGGGAAAGCAGTGGAAGATGGCCCAAGTGCTTGGGCCCTGCACCCACATGGGAGATCCAGAAGAAGCTTCTGGCTCTTGACTTTGGATTGGCACAGCTTCAGCCTGTTGTGGCCAATTGGGGAGTGAACCAGCAAATGGAAAACCTCTCTCTCTCTCTCTCCCCCTCCCTCTCTCTCCCTCCCTCGCTCCCTCTTCTCTCTCTGTGTAACTCTTTCAAATAAATAAATCTTTAAAAAAATAATTATATCAATGTAAATTTACAAAGTTGATAGCCATACAATGATATCACTATTCTTAGGAACTGCACATTGAAGAGTTATATGTAATTTACCCTGAAATAGTCCAAGGTGGGGAGAGAACAGATGAGGTAAAAAGTTAACAGTACCTGAATCTGAGTAAAAGACATATTACATTATTTTTGCAGTTTTTGGAAACTTGAAATATATAAAACAAAAAAATCTGAGTCCACTCCTTTTGTTCTGTTCTCTCCTAAACTCACTGTATCCCACAGCTCCCCAGAAATGTGTCAAGGTTACCAGTTACATCCAGTTTGTGAACTCCAGTGGTCAGTTCTTAGTCTTTTACTTACTTGAGGGTTTGACACAATTTGTCACTGCCTCCTTGAAATGTGTGCATCTCTTGACTTCTGGACGCCACTCTTCTGTGGTTCTTCTCTTACCTTCCTGGCTGCTCCTTCTCTGTTTACTTGACAGTTCACTTTTATGTCTCCCTCTTCCAGACCTTGGAGCATCCCAGGGCTTAGTCCTCAGAATCAACCCATTTAAGGTCATTTCCCAGTCTCAATCTAGTGTCTTCAATCACTTACCTTAGTTTAGCATGTAATATTCTTCCAGGAATGTAAGAACTTCCTCCTTTTTTAGATCGTACCCAAGATTAATTCCCTATTTACCTATATCTTAGAGCAGTTGGTGGCTATGCACAGTAGGAAAAGTCTGCCGCATTCTGCAGAGCATATATGCAGGGAGACAGAAGGCTGAAAAGCCTAACATCTTGGAGCAGTCTAAAGTGTACCTTTCACTCTAAGAATTAGAATATGGACCCAGCAAGGAGAAGATGTTTGTTGAAGGTCATTTAGCGATTATTGACAATGTCTGATAAAGCCCAAGTGTCTGTGCTTTCTTCTTATTCTTCTCTCTCCCCTTTAAGATGTATTTATTTATTTATTTATTTATTTTTTGACAGGCAGAGTGGACAGTGAGAGAGAGACAGAGAGAAAGGTCTTCCTTTGCCGTTGGTTCACCCTCCAATGGCCGCCGCGGCCGGCACGCTGCAGCCGGCGCACCGCGCTGATCCGATGGCAGGAGCCAGGAGCCAGGTGCTTCTCCTGGTCTCCCATGGGGTGCAGGGCCCAAGCACTTGGGCCATCCTCCACTGCACTCCCTGGCCACAGCAGAGAGCTGGCCTGGAAGAGGGGCAACCGGGACAGAATCCGGCGCCCCAACCGGGACTAGAACCCGGTGTGCCGGCGCCGCAAGGCGGAGGATTAGCCTAGTGAGCCGCGGCGCCGGCCCAAGATGTATTTATTTGAAAGTCAGAATTATAGAGAGCAGGAGAGACACCCAGAGGAAAAGAGAGAGCTGGTTCACTCCCCAGATGGCCACAACTGCTGGGGCTGGGCCAGGCCGAAGCCAGGAGCCAGGAGCCTCTTCCAGGTCTCCCACAAGGGTAGCAGGGGCCCAAACGCTTGGGCCATCCTCTGCTGCTCTTCCCAGGCCATTAAAAGGGAGCTGGATCAGAGTGGAGTAGCCAGGACACAAACCAGCACCCATATGGGGTGCTGGCATTGTAGGAGGCAGCTTTACCCACTATGCCACAGTGCCAACCTCTATGTTCTGTTCTTGAGAGGCAGTTTAATATGTTTTGTCAAAACCTCAAGAATCTGATGAAAATTACAGACTTTCTCCCAGTGGAAAAAAAAAAGTACCTAGTATATACAAATAACTTTTCATTTAATTTCAGGAGCCTTATGGGCCTGTATAGTGCATCTAGACATTAGATTACAAAACTCTTCTCTATCAGAAAAGAACCCAAAACAGAGAAGTCTGCAGGATAACTGATTCAATGGTGTAAACAAATAAACAAAAACGGCGCTGTGGCTCAATAGGCTAATCTCCACCTAGCAGCGCCAGCACACCGGGTTCTTGTCCCGGTCGGGGCACCAGATTCTTTCCCGGTTGCCCCTCTTCCAGGCCAGCTCTCTGCTGTGGCCCGGGAAGGCAGTGGAGGATGGCCCAAGTGCTTGGGCCCTGCACTCCATGGGACCAGGAGAAGCACCTGGCTCCTGCCTTTGAATCAGCGCGGTGCGCCAGCTGTAGCGCGCAGTCCGTGGCAGCCATTGGAGGGTGAACCAACAGAAAAGGAAGACCTTTCTCTCTGTCTTTCTTTCTCACTATCCACTCTGCCTGTCAAAAAAAAAAAAAAAAAAAAACAAACAAAACAAAAAAACTAGGTTTAGAGTAGTATAAATGTTCAAGATTAAAAAGTCTAAGGAAGGGCTGGCGCCACAGCTCACTAGGCTAATCCTCCGCCTTGCGGCACCGGCACACCGGGTTCTAGTCCCGGTTGGGGCACCGGATTCTGTCCCGGTTGCCCCTCTTCCAGGCCAGCTCTCTGCTGTGGCCAGGGAGTGCAGTGGAGGATGGCCCAAGTGCTTGGGCCCTGCACCCGCATGGGAGACCAGGAGAAGCACCTGGCTCCTGCCTTCCGATCAGCGTGGTGCGCCGGCCGCGGCGGCCATTGGAGGGTGAACCAGCGGCAAAAGGAAGACCTTTCTCTCTGTCTCTCTCTCTCACTGTCCACTCTGCCTGTAAAAAAAAAAAAAAAAAAAAAAAAAAAAAAGTCTAAGGAAGTCTAACAGTCAATTGTGTACAGACTGTTTAAATTCTGATTCAAACAAATTAAGTATAAAAAGACATTTGGAGAGAGAGAAATTTACATAGAGTGAACATTGGATGATATTGAATTAATTTTTTAGATATGGAAATAGATGAGAAACTTGTTTAGAAATGAATATTAGAGTGTTTAGGGTTTAAATATCATGTGTGGCTTTTATATTAAAATTCTTCAACAAAATAAATAGATGAAGTGATTTGGGCAAGGTGTTAACAAATAATGGGTGAAAGGGATTTCAATTCTTATTATAATCCACTTCTCTATTTTTGTGATTGAACTTTTTCATAATAAAGAGAAAATGCAACTGCTGTCTACCATTCTGACATGTACAAGGGTGTAGCTGGATTGTCAGAGCAAGCACCAAAGTTCTGAGGATCCCTGAAGAGTCATCCATAGACTTCCTGTCTCTGGGACCACAGCAGTACAATAATCCACTAGGTTTTGTTTTTACAAGAGAACACACCGATATCCTGACCCTGGACTGGCTCCTACAATCGAAGGGAAACAATACAATAAAAGACATCATTTGGTCAGCTGACAAAAATTGGAATATGGAAATAGAGTCCCGCATGAATCTGAGAGGAACTGCTATTCCCTTTCTGGGTCTATCTATTTCATCTCTTATTTCATCTCATGTTGTCAAATTTATGGGCATAAGAGTTTCTTAGTAGTATTATCTTTTTAAATGCCTGTAGGAACCACAGTGATGTCCTCTCTTTCATGCCTGATATTTGTAATTTGTGCACTATCTTTATATATATATATATATACACACACACAGACAAGTAAACAGAAGCTAAAAAGGAGAAGTTGCTCAGGTCAAGGCTTCAGAGCCAACTGCCTTGCCCAGCTGTCAGGGGAATCATCCTTTTTGAGGCTTTGTACTCCTAGCCTACAGATCTCACGTACTCCATGTGGTTGACATGTAGTCTGGTATGGAAGAGTGACACTTCAGAGACAGGGCTCTCATTGCCCTTGGCCTTCGAGGTGAATATGACTTCTCAGAGGCAAGGGCAGACTCTTCTGCCTCAAGGTCTCCACAGGGTGAACAGCACTGGCTTTGGGAAGTTTTTCCACTCTCAGGAATCTATGAGTATCTGGTTCTGCAGCTACTTCCTGAAGAACCAGAGTTTGGAGATAAGGGACACGTGAAAGTGCTTGTTGCAAGCAAGAACCTCCTCTTTATTCTGCACATAGAAACTGGTTTCCATAGAATAGGGAAAGGGCTTTGACCTGGCTCTATCTCTGTGTGGGCCCTACGGATGAAGGTCTAGGTTCTGGTGACCAATACCTTCTCTAGTTGGGAATGAAAAACCCTGTTTTCTAGTCAGTCTGAAATTAGGAAGTGGGAGCAATGATGTGGGGCAATTCCTTGGTTAGATGAATATCAGCTTGGGGCAGGCTCTTCCAGGCAAGTTCCAAGATCCCGTAATGGGCAATGCCCATGGAATGGATGGTACGCACGTTGTTCTGTCCAGGGAGAGGTATCACATCCTGGAACTCTGGAGGATTTTTGGGGATATGAGACCTACCACAAAACAGGTGATAAAATAACCGCTCCCCAGGAACTAGCTCCGTGGTGTTTAGTGCCTCTTTGTAGGTGATCTCCTGGGATTGAGGTTCCTCCCTCAGTAGCAGGTCCTGTAGCAGCCTCTGGATGCGAGGAGACTTAAGTTGGTACAGGTCCATGAGCTGATAGAACTGTTCCATCCAGGCAGCCGTGTCTTTGGCATATCGCTGCTGCAGCATCCGCAAGACATAGTACAGTGCCACAAATGTCTCCCATGGAGGCAGCTCTTCCCTTTTTTTTGAGATGGGGTGTGTCTTCTTCTCCAACTTAGGCAATTTGGGAAACTTGCCCTTGTCCTTAAAATCCCATAAGTCCTTTTGAAACATCAGGGCCAGAGTTTGCTTTTCCACAGAGGTATGGGGACTTTGAAAAGTGTCTCCTGTGGTGGGATAAAAGTATTGCATATCCATCTCTTTAACAGCATCAGATAACTGCTGTGCCCGCCCGCTTCTGTAAGGTTCTCCCAGAAGATGCCAGTTTAGAGCCTTTGGGTCAAATATCCTCTTGGTAGCTAATGGAGACTTTGATGTCAGGACATCCAAAGGTTTCAGCCAACTCTCCGTGTCCTTTCCTTTTATAGGAGGAATCACCTTTAGATGTTTTGGACTTAGGGACCCCTTGCTGGGTTTTGAGATCCCCGGACTTCGTGACTCCAGGGCCTGCATGTGATGGTACACAATGGCTTCAAGCTTGGCCAGATGCAGCCACTCTAAGTTTCCCTTTGAGGTAAGGTCTTTGAGGAGCTGACACAATCTGTGAAAACTATCCCTAGAAAGCTGTTCTCCTGCTTCCATCCTTTCGAGGACATGGTAGATCCACTCTGTATCAGAGAGACTCACCTCTGGAAACTGTTCCTCAGTCAGGATTTGGGAAAAGGGGAATTGTTTTTTAGTCTGTTCTGTCGGGGCTGGACGATGCCTCAAAAGCCACTTCCGCCTGGGACCTGGTGGTTTGTGCTGGAGTTTCTGAGCTTCCATGGTCTTCCTAAGTATTTGGGAAATGAGTGGAGTCTTTAAGCCCTGATCTTGGGACTCCAAAATTGTATCCAAAGCATGTAGAGGTACAGGTTTATATTCCTCCAACAGTTCTCTTTCTTTATCCATAAACCTAATCCTTGAGAATGTCCTGGGTGTCTCGAGGACTATGCCCTTATCGTCCCAGAATGTTTGTTTGACAGGTAGTGGTGCTGGTATCTTCCCTCCCATCCCCAAATCTGCTGAGATCAGTTTCTTGGAAGGGCTTTTCAGAATTCCCAGTTTTATAGCAGTGCCTTTGATCTCAGGGACTGTTTTTCCAATAGAAGGGACTATTTCCCGTCCCCTAGGGGCCTTTCTTCTTTCTTCTTGTAACTTAAATTGTTTTTCCCTTTTTAAGATCTCTTTCTCTGGGCTTACCTCTTCCTCCAATGAGCTTCTTTCCTCTTCCTCCTCTTCTATCTCACTTAAACTTTCCGTCACACCCTCACTGATGCTTTCTTCCTCCTCAGATGCTTCTTCCTCCTCAGACGCTTCTTCCTCCTCAGACGCTTCTTCCTCCTCAGACACTTCTTCCTCCTCAGGCACTTTTTCCATCTTGAATACTTCCTCTTCCTGTTCTGCCTTCTTCTTTTGTTTCATCATCATCTTTCTCTTCCACTCCCTCTTCTCTTTCTTTCGAAATGCTTCCTTCTCCTCCCCCTCCTTCTCTTCCTCCATCCCTTCTTCCTCCACCACCTGTTCCTCCTCCCCTTCTTCCACCAGCCCCTCTTCTTCCTCCTCTTCCTCCTCCTCCTCCTCCTCCTCCTCCTCCTCCTCCTCTTTATCTTCCTCCTCCTCCTCCTCTACCTCCCCTTCTGACTGTCCCTCCTCCTTCTCCTCCTCAGAGGAACTGTCTTGCTCTACTGAATCTAACAGCCTTTCCACTTCCTTGGAAAAGCTTTCTTCAATTCCTAGCTCGTCCTGTTCAGTGGAAAGCTTTTCCTTTCTTGTATCAACTCCATGTAGCTGTTTTTTCTTTCTCCGCCTTTGTTTAAGGGATTGGATGGCCTCCTCTTTTTCTTTTTTTTCTTCTTCTAATCCTTCTTCTTCATCCTGCAGGACTTCTCTCTGTTCCTTGGCCAATCTGCTTTCCTCCTCAGCCATTTTTTTCTCTTGGCTTATTATCCTTCTTATTTCCTTGGTCAGTTTTCTCTGCTTCTGAGCCAGTTTCTTCTCATTTTTGGTCATGTCTGACTGGTCCATAGAAAAATCCCATTCTTTGGTATCAAGACTATCCCGTTCCTTGCTCAATCTGTTCTCCTTAACAAATAGTGACCTCTTTATCTTTGCCATCTTTAATTCTTCCTGGGTTATTTTTCTTTCATCACTAATTAGTTTTCGAAGTGCCTTTAAGACTTTTTTCGCTTTTGTTGGTTCCCCGGAAATGACCATCTTCTCTTTAAACATCTTCCTTACTGCTTTGGCTAATTTCCTTTCTTCCTGGGCATACATTCTCTGTCCTCTAGTAAGCTCCAGTTTTCCCCTGGCAATGTCCTTCTTCTCAGTGGCCAATATCCTATCTTCATATGACAGTATTTTCTCCTCTTGCAACAATCTATTTTTAATTAAATTTATTTCACCCTCAGACAGTTTTCTCTCTCTTGAGGGCTTTTGAATCCCTCCCTTGGAGAGAATTTCCATTTCCTTGGCCAGTCTTGCCTTCTCCTGGGCCACTTTCTCCATCTCCTTGTGTAATGCTTTTTCTTCCCTAGCGATATTCAACTCTTCTTTGAGCAGTTTCCTTCCTTGGAATATGGATGTTTTCCCCGCAGCTAATTTCATTTTTTCCTGGGCCAGTTTCTCCTGTTTTTTAGCCAGATTGCCCTCTTTCTGAGCCAGTTTTTTCTCTGTGTTAGCCAGTTGCTCCTTCTTCTGGGCCACTATCTGCCTTTCATCTTTTAGCTTCTCCTCTATTTGAACGAGTTTCTGCGTGTACACGTCCAGCTCCTTCTTGGCCTGAGATAACTGCTCTCTGCTCTTCCTGAGGTTCTCTTTGAGACGGAGGAGGCTCTCTTTATTCGGAACCATTTTTTCCTTATCCCAAGCCAGATTCTGTCTTTCCCAAGCCAGATTCTCTTCCTTCTGAGCCATTATATTCTTGCTCTGTGCAAGTTCTTTCTTGTTCTGGAGCATTTTTTCCCTTTCGCTGGCCAGTTTCTCTTTATTCTGAATCAGCTGTTCTCTTCTCTTGGCCAGTTGTGCCTCTTCCTGAGGGGTTTTTGCCTTGTCCTGGGCCACTTTCTCCTCTTTCTGCATTAGCAGCCCTTCTTCCAAGATCAATTTTTTCTCTTTCTTAGCCAGCTTCTCTTCTTGCCAGGCTAGTGTCTTCTCTTGCTGAGCCAGTCTCTCCTTTTCCTCAGCCACTTTCTTTTTTTCTTTATCCAGCTCCTGTTCTTTCCAAGCCATTTCTTCCGTGTCCCAATCCAGTTGTGCTAGTTCCTGGGCCAACTTCTTTTCTTGCTGTGCCAGATTTTGCTCCTTTTGAGCCAGTGTTTCCATTTTCTGGGCTGTTATTATTTTTGCCTCAGCCACTTTACCTCCTTTCTTTGCTAGCTTCTCTTCTTCGCGAGCCACTGTCTCCTGTTTCTTTGCCAATTTCCTCATTTTCTGGGCCAATCGCTCTGCTTCCTGGCTTATCTTCTCCTGTTTTTGGGCCAATTTTTCCTCTTTCTGGGCAGACTTCCTCTCTTTCTGGGCCACTTTTCCATCTCCACGGACCATTTTCACGTATTCTCGGGCCAGTTTTCTCTCTTCTTGGGCCAGTTTTCTCTCTTCTTTTGCGAGTTTCTCTTCTTGTTGTGCTAGTTTCCTCCCTTCTTTGGCATATTTTCTTGCAGCCCGGGCTTGTTCGCTCTGTATCATGGCCCATTTTCGTTCTTCCTGGATTTGTCTCTGCTCTTCTGTGATCTCCTCCTCTTCTTCCTCCTCCTCCTCTTCCTCCTCCTCTTCTTCCAACCCCTCTTCCTCCTCTTCTTGCTCCTCCTCTTCTTCCTCCTCTCTCTCCTCTCTCTCCACTCCCTCTTCTCTCTCCTCCTCCTCTTCTTCTTCTTCCCATTCCTTAGACATTTCTTTCCACTTACGAAGCAGTTCTTTCTCCAGCTTCAATTTTTCTTCATCCGTGTGCTTGGATAAAAACATATTTTCCCAGGCCTGTCTCCACTTTTCCCATTTCACCTTCTTGCCGGCCCCCTCCTGCATTTCCTCCTCCTCTGGGACTGGTTCCTCCTCATCCTCCTGCTGTTGCTGCTCTTCCTGAGGACGCCTCCTGTCCTGATCTTGCTTCCTTTTATCCAAGGGTTTCTTCACACTTTGGGCCTTTTTCCATTGATCCCAGTAGTCCTTCCATTCGTCCAAAGACAGCTTTCTTTCAGGTGTAACTGGTTCTTCTTTTCCCTCAAATACTACTCTTTGAGGTCTGGCCATTGCCCCCACTTCCTCACTCTTCTCCCTGTCTTGTTTGGTTATTTTCCTCCTCTTTTTACCATCTTTTCTCTCTTCCTGAGCTGCTTCCCCCTCTCCCTGAGCTGCTTCCCCCTCTCCCTGGGCTGCTTCCCCCTCTTCCTCAGTTGCTTTCCTCTCTTCCTGAGCTGCTTTCCTCTGTTGTTTAGCTGACACCTTAGACAATTTTTTCTCTTCTTTCTTTGATTTTCGTTTTCCTTTGGTTAGGTCACCTGATTCTAAAAAGGTAAGTTTCTTTTTCTTGCCTTTTTTGGGAACAACTTGGGTTTCCTCCAAGTCCTGCACGTCACTTTCTTCCTTTTGCTCCTCTTCCTTTTGCTCCTCTTCCATGTCTCTGATCACCATGTCCTCTCTAATAATCTCCTCGTGAATAAAAATTGGTTTCTCCTCTGGCCAGGCTACATCCCAGTCAAAGTCTTCAAATACAACCTTGCTTTCTTTCTTCAGCAAGGGGCATATCTTCTGGAAGAGCTCCCAGCTGGGGTACCGATCTGCCAAGATCTCCTTAGCCATAGCCACTAGTTCATTGTTTAAAGCTTCTGACAGTTTTGTTTGGGATTCAGATACCCTCAGGACCATAAGGCGACATAAATCATCTCGCCATGATGTGCCACGTCCAGGGGTCCTCTTGTGGCCAGGCACTCCAGTGACACCCCGTCCATGAGCTTTAGCCTTTCTCACAATGGGTCGTTCTATTACAGTAGACGGAGGTTCCTCAGTTACAGTTTTCTCTTCCTTTCTCCTCTTCTTGTGCCCCTTCACGGGTTTCTGAACTGTCGATTTTTTGTCTCTTTTGTCACGTACTTTCCTCAGCATCTTCAGCGTCAAAGCCATGTGATCCTTTGAAATATCTTCCTCTGAAGATTCAGCATCTCTTGAGAACTTCATGCTGCTGACTGAAGTCCTTCCAGAACGAATGATGATATCTTCTAGGCTCTCAAATAGTGTAGCTTCACTCTGCTCACTTTCAACCTCTTTTTCTGAGGGCTCTGTGGTCATCGGTTTTAAGTCTACCTCTTTCATCTTCTTGAGACCCCTCAACAGTTTTCGAGCTGCAGGAAGGATTAGGAGATGGAGGTAAGGAAAGCATGGGAGACTAAACGAAATTCCTCCCAATATCTGGTGTGAGCTAAGAGGCACTTCCATAAAAGAGATGGCTGAGGCTTCAGAAAAACCAAAACACACAAAAAAACTGTCTCTTTGCTTTAGTCTCTCCCCCCCTCCCAAATCTTAAGATAGGTCTTAGGATCTTCCTCAGTATGGTTGGATCCTTCAGAAGAGAGGTTTTTTTTTTTTTTAAGATTTATGTATTTATTTGAAAGGCAGAGTTAAGAGAGAGAGAGAGAGAGAGAGAGAGAGATCTCCAGCCACTGGTTCACTCCCCAAATGGCCATAATGGCCAGGGCTGGATCAGGCTGAAGCCAGGAACCAGGGTCTCCCACATGGGAGGCAGAGGCCCAGGGACTTTGGGCCATCTTCTACTGCTTTCCCAGACACATTAGATTAGCAAGAAACTGAATTAGAAGTGGAGAAGCCTGGTCTCAAACCAGTGCCCATATAGGATGCCGGCATGGCAGGCCGTGGTTTTACCCACTATGCCACAACACCGGCCCTGGAGAGTTCTTTTCTGTAATGTATTTCCACTAATCTTTCTTCCCACCTGGAATCTCTTGACTCATTTTAGCCCTACCTACCTTGCTGCCTCTTAAGAAATCCTAGGGCATGGACCATATCATCCCATACATACTCTGTTTTTTGCCCATTGCTCGGCCCCGTCTTTGGGCCTTGCTGGGCTTCATGGCCATTCCAGGTTCTTCAGCAATTGTGGGAAGTTGTGTAGGCAAGTATATAGTTTCAGAAGTCCTGGAAACATCTAAAGAAAAATCAGGCCTTTTATCTCCTGACAAGGTCAGGTTTTCATTCAATCGCTGCTCCACTTGAGCCTGAAGGATTTGGAGATCTGTGGGCCGCATCCCCAGCAGATGGTCCAAGGATTCCTCCCCTATCATCTCTTGCCTGTGAAAATCAGAGAGGAAGGACTATGTTGAAACGCGGGTAAGGGGGAGAATGTAAAGGCAAGAACTGCTGTGGAATTGGCAGGGGGCTTGGCAGAGCGGCTAAGGATAGCATATGTAGAAGTAAATGATGTTCAAGAAGAAAGAAAATGTTTAGGAAGCCAAGATGTCAGTGAATGGAGTAATCTGTATGGGGGTGCTGTAGGGGTATGAGAAAAGGATGAAAAGTTGAATTTGATGTGGTAGGAATAGGCAAAGAAATGGAGAATGGAATGAGCAGTCAGGGGAACATGAAGGATAGTTTAAGGTTGGGAAAAGGTTATGAAAAAGAAGAGGGGTCAAGGAGAACTAATGAATAGGAATGAAGAGGTAGTAAAGAAAGGAAAGAGGAAAATGGAAAAGAGGAGAAGAAAATGAGGAGCTGGTAGATAAGTGAAAAGAGGTCACAACTTACTGCATCTCTCGGTAAGTGTCTTTATTCTGGATTAGCTCTAAGAGTGAGGCCTTAGAGTGGATCCCAATCTCAGCCATTAGGCTCAGGGCCTTACTCCTCACTCTTTGGTCCTTGTCCATTAATCCTTGGGCCAGAGGCAAGGCAAAGAGATGAGTAATCATTCCTAGACACTTTAGCCCTTCCCAGGCCAGTTCTCGAATCTGTGGGTTGGAATTAGTCGTATCATCCAACAAACGATGGGCTGTCTCAGAGCGCAGGGAAGGAGACACCTGATAAGAGGCAAATATTTGCCTAAGTGCGCCAACACAGCATTGGTACTTCAGTGGGGAAGCATGGATCATGACACTGAGGATTGTCTCAATCAGGCTATTAACAGCAATTTCACTCATCTTTCTTCCCAGCCAGCTGCGGTTTCCTGTGTCTGTAAGGACACTATAGGTTGTGTCCTTAGACAGTCTCATTCCTAGGAAGTCTTCATCTTCCTTCTCCTCGGAATATTCTGCAATATCACTTATAGCTCTTGCCCTGCTATGCCAGAAGAATTGTTGAGACCTGTCCCATTCCAGTTCCCGCTGGGGCGAGTGCAGGCTACACTGTAGGAATATTGGGCTGCCTTCTGGCCAAAGACGGGCACGAATAACTGAGTTGGGGATGTAGCAATCAGGGGCAAGAAGCCATTCCCGCCCATGACCAAAGTAGCATCGCAATATCTGATAGGGATTGAGTCCATCCCAGCTAGTCAGCTGTAGATGGGGAGGAACTACATAATGAGGTTGCTGAGGTTTGCTCGTCTGCATCCAGTCAGCTTCTACCCCTTCTAAAGAATCACGTCTGGGGGTACGCAGTAGCACAGGGCTCCCTGCCTCATCTTCTTCTATGACATGTGGCACAGAATGGTCAAAGGCAATGGCTCGCTTATTGATAAGGCTCTCCAGACCCGCTAATTCCTGTTGCCCTTGTCCAAGGTAGACATATTTGGGCACAAACATGGTCTCAAAGGAGAAGAAGAAGCTTGGTATGAAAGATTTAGGGGCTTCTACTACTTCATCTGTTATACTCATAAGGGAAAAGCAAGACAGAATGTTTGGGGGAAGCAGTTTTAAACAGGATACCAGATAAAGACTCTGGTTGAAAGTCACAAGCAGGTCGCCTCGGTCATTTGCAAAGCAGAGGGGGCCAAAGTGCAGTGATGAGTCCAACATGGCTATCAGTCTACCATGGAAGTCCCAGATCCGGACAGAGCCATCAATGCCACCTGTGACAAAAAGACTCAAAGGTAGGCAGACATCAAAGGACATAATGGCACATTGGTGCAGAGGCAATGTCTCTATGAACTTCGAGCCTTCCTGCAACCCGGAGGACAGAAAATCATGGAACTTCCAGAGACGCAGGCAGTTAGTCTCTGTGATGGCACCCACAGATTTGGGCAAGAGGATAAGGTGCTTAAGGTGACAGCTGCTGAGAATGCTAGCCAGTGGCCTCAGTTGTACTTTGATCCCATCAAGCACAGCTTCTGACAGGTGTACGTAGTCATCCATGCCATAGGAACAGAGCAAAGAGTTTTCTCGGCCACCCAGAATCCCTCCAGACATTGTAGAGAGTGCTAATACAGCCCCAAAATGCATGAATTTCTCTATTCGGGCACAGCTGTGCTGGGAAAGTACTCTTATCACACCACTCTGGTGCCCAGAGAATATCAGTCCTTCTAGCCCCCGCCCCAGGTGGAAATGTCCATAAGCCAGGCATTGTACAAAGTCTTTAGAATCTGGTGAGGTGCTTAGGAGATACTTGGCTGGGCAAGGGCAGCGAGTTGTGTCAAATACCAGCACCTCTGAGCCGCCTGTTGCCACAAAGAGCTCCTCTTTACCTGGGTCATAAGCCCAGTCCACAGCTTGGTCCAGAATTGAGAAGGGCCAGGTGATAACCAGAAGATTCCCTGTTACTGGGGACACAAAGTGTAACAAGCCATCCTCAGTAGCGCACAGGATCCGGAACCAGTTATCTCCACAGCGGACCCGACGCACCTGCTGTGGAGCAGAACCACAGACGTTGAAGAGGCTATAGAAACAGGGCAGGCAGCGCAAGGAAAAACTATGGTTAGTTTGGCAGAAGAAAGTTGTGCTATCAATGAACTGGAGTCTATGCAGCTCTTCACCCAGTTCTAGCCGCCGCAGCAGGTTCCCAGAAGTAAGGTTCCACTCTTTGATTAAGCCTTCCTTGCCAGCTGTTAGCAGGGTGTGGGCCTCTGGCCGGCTGTGGATACATATCACAGATAAGGTATGGGCCTTGAAACTGTGGAGGGACTGGCCCCAGTTGAGGTTCCAAACTTGTATTTCCCCAGCCTTGTGTCCAGCATAGAGAAGGCCCTGATCAAAACAGGTGCAGCAGCAGGTGATAGAGGAGCCCCTGGTGGTGGAAGTGAACTTCTTTACCTCCGCCAGCTTACCCTGGCCCTGGCGTTCAAGGACTCTTACCACCGTCTCACAGAGAGCTATGAGGGAGCCATTGGGTCCATTCAGCACGATGTCCTGGACAAGCTCATCATTAGGCATGGAAACCATGTAGAGTATTTGGAGGCCCTTGCCACTTCGCTCAATGAGCCAGGTGATCACTGCCCCCATGATACCAGACAGAAGCATCTTCATTTCTGGGTCATAGCAGAGGCAACTGATGTTGAAGCGGCAGGGTACTATGCCTAGAGGCTTAAATGCCCGAAAGTGGTCTCCAAAGAGCCGCAGGAGCAGGTCACCACAGTAGGCCACGAGGATATGAAAGGAACCTGTGTGGACCATGGCCTGAATAGGTGGCAGTCGTTCAGTCATGGAGAATGTTCTTTTCTCAACCATGTCCTCAGTTTTGCTCTTCATCCATACTACAGCCTGGAAGAGAATAAGATGGGGACTGTGGGAAAGACAGTAGAGAAGGAAGGCGCTGAATATATTCAGCTATTTTTGCTCGTTTTTATGCTAAGGAGGAATTGGAACACACTAGAATAATTTTACTCCCTAGTCATAGGAGTTGGAAATATGCTAGAGGCAGGAAGCCTAAGACTCTTTGCCTAACCTTAGTCAACTTTAGGAACCATAGTCTGCTCAACATAGAGACTGTAATTGGAGAAAGAATGAGGGGGAGTCCTAGATCTAGGCCATATTCATTCAAGGGGCTTTTCTTTGTCAATCTAGGCTGAGGGTTATGTGAGTATGGCCCCTGGAGAACAGGCAGGCATTGTGGTGCAGCATGTTAAGCCACCACTTTGTATACCCACATCCTAAATTAGAGTGCCTGGGATTCAGTTCCACCTCAACTTTCAATCCAGCTTCCTACTAATGCTCCTGGAAGGCAACAAATGATGGCCCAACTACTTGGGTTCCTGCCACCCATGTGTGAAACTTGGATAAAGACCTTGGCTCTCTGGCTTTGGCCTGGCCCAACTCCAGCTATTGTAGGCATCTGGGGAGTGAATCAGCAGATGGAAGATCTTTCTCTCTCTCTCTCTCTCTCTCTCTCTCTCTCTCTCTCTCTCTCTCTCTCCCCCCCTTCCCCTGCTTTCATCACTCTGCATTTCAAATAAATAAATAGCCAAAACTTAAAAAGAAGGGGGCAGAAAGGCAGTTTTACCTGTATTTCTTTCGTGTATGGTGTCACCCAAGAGAGGGAGGCAAAGAAGTAGGAATCACTCACATAGTGGCTTATGAACGGCATATTTTGAGGATAGCGAGATTCTTTGAACAGTATCTGGGACCGGTCACTCAGCACAACTATGTCATTCTTTGGGTCATTTGAAGGTTTCTGAGGAGAGGTATGGCATCATAAACTAAGAGGCCAGGACACATGTCCACTAAATATATTCTCACACAGTTCACAATATAAGCAGTTTCCAAAGTTATGCACCCAAACCCCAAGAACTATTCCTGTTACATCCATATATACACACCTTATCACCCATGGGACATCAACACTTCATAAGCATATAACAAATCCCCCAACACATAAGGAAACCAACCCCTCTTAGGGCCTTTATGGATGCATTTTATAGTGTGAGCACAGAGGAAAAGGATGTTTTTCCCAACATAAAGCCATCCTTTAACATTTTCCCTGGATTCTAAAAGGTACACATGTCATAAAGGGTACAACATTTAATCAATTACCCAAGCAAATGCATTGCCTCATTCTCATATAGGATATCACAGAATATCCCAAAATTCAGTGCAGCTCTAAATTATACAGCTTAAAACTTGACTAAAATTTTTAGGATACCCTATTTTTGGCTTTTAAATTTGATGGAGGACTTGCACATATACAATATGTATTAGCGCAAGGGCTGGTGCTGTGACGCAACGGGCTAACGCCCTGGCCTGAAGGGCCGGCATCCCAATGGGTGCCGGTTCTAGTCCCAGCTGCTCCACTTCTGATCCAGCTCTCTGCTATGGCCTGGAAAAGCAGTAGAAGATGGCCCAAGTGCTTGGGCCCCTGTACCCACATGGGAGACCTGGAAGAAGCTCCTGGCTCCTGGCTTCTGATCAGTGCAGCTCCGGCTGTTGTGGCCAATTGGGGAGTGAACCACTGGATGGAAGACCTCTCTTTCTCTCTTTCTGCCTCTCCTCTCTCTGTGTAACTCTGACTTTCAAATAAATAAATAAATATTTTTAAAAACCATAATATGTATTTAAAAAAACACAAAATGTATTACTGCACAGGAAAACATGCACCTGAGTTCCTTTTACACAGAGCCAACAACAGCCAACTGAGGATTGACAAATGCTCTCTCTGGTGCTTTTCCCCTTTCCTTTCAGAAAATCTCTCTTCTCAAGGTTGATTCCTGTTAAGATGCTCCAAAATGTTCACCTCCCACCATCAAAATGTCGTTTTAAGAGGTCTGTAGACTCATCTGGAAATTGAAGACCTGCTTCCTACTAAGGTGACTGTTGTCTCTGTGGTCTACCTGGCTGCTTCCTGCGTCCATGGACAGTCTCTGGCTCCTCTGAAGTGCTCATCATTGTGAAATAGAAAGAGGCCAACTAGTGACACACTTATGTCCTGCACAGGCATTACCTTGCTTTTCTCTATGGTGTCATTTACAAGGCATTTAAAATCCTTCCACAGGGGAATGAGTCTGGAGGAAGACATCACCTCAATTTTCCCCTGGTTCTCTTTAGAACTGTTGCTTAAAAACCTGTGGGAAACCGAAAGAGGGAGACTTAGACACTGCTATTCTTTTCAAGGACCTAGGAATCAGAAGGCAAGAACCATGAACTCATATGAATTAAACACCTTCTGGAGGGCCAATGTTGTGATACAGTGGGTTAAGCTGTTGCTTGAAATTCCAGCATCCCATATTAGAGCACCATTTGGTATCCTGGCTGCTCCACTTCTGATCAGCTCCCTAATAATGTGCCTGGGAAAACAGTAGAGGATGGCCTGGATGTGGCCTGGCCTAGGCCTGGCTGTTACAGTCATGTAGGGAATGAACTAGCAGATGAAAGAGCTCTCTTGTTCTCTCTCTCTCTCTCCCTCCCTCCCTCCCCTTTTCTCTCTCCCCTTTTCTCTTGGTCACTCTTTCAAATAAAAAAATCTTTAAAACAAAACCAAAAGCCACCACCACCACCAACAGGGAAACCCACCTTCTGAATGTCAGAACCTATGCACAAATACATCTTTGCATTTAGCTCTCACTACAGCCCAAGGAGGTAGGTATGGCCTCATTTTATTGATGAGAAAACTGAGGCTTCAAAAGGGTAAAGGGACTAAATCTTAGCATTTTTTGTCATAGCCCAGTAGGATATTACGGGTGAGGGAGGCATGGAAACCTAAGAGAGAGACTAGAATAGAATGCTCTTACAGGTAAACTATAGTTCTTTGCTGCTTGTTATGTGTTAGGAGAGCATTTTGTGAGGACTAGGGTTCCTCAAGGAGTGGTCTCTGGACCTCCTGCACCAGGTTTCCTTGTGTGTGTGTGTGTGTGTGTGTGTACGCATTGAGGGGGAAGATACAGCCTCAGATGCAGATTCCTAGAGCCCTGTCATGAAACTACTGAATCAGAGCCATGGAAATGAGACCCAAGAACCTTCACTTTTATCAGGCTTCCTAGATGATTCTGTTGCCATAGAAGTCTCGGTATTGAAGGAGGAAACAGAGATGATAGGCACCTAGTACTAAGAGTCAGCCCCACCTACCATGGATGGAGAAAGGACCTGGTCATTTGGCCTTGAAGGCATCTCCAGGTTTGTGGAATTCAGTGGCTGAGAGAGAATTGTCCTCTTTCCCATTCCATTCTCTTTGGCCACAATGAGGACCACCTTCTACTTTTCCTGGTTGGATTGTGAATAAGATTACTTTTAACAATTCCCCTTTGTCAAGGAGTCTGTCATTACTGGTGTGACAATGGACTTTTCATTTCCTTATGAAAATGAAAATGCCGGTCTTGCCTAAAATCCCTTTAAAGTAGACTCTGAATTAACAAGAAATTATGATTGTTGTTTTTAGGCTGGCTTGGTTCTTAGGCAAGTGACCACTGTATTTCCTTCGAACCTGTATTCTTACTTCCCAGTTGCTTTGGCAACATGACAGCTAAATGTATGGTCTTCCCAGTAGAGGGCAGTGGAGGCCAACCTTGCTTGCTACATGAAAGAAAACTTCAGTTTAGAGAAATGGTTCCCCAAAGTGTGCTCTTCAGTACATGATATACTCATAGTTCCTCAAAATTCTTGTGCACACCTCTACCAGCAGAAAGGCGTTAAGAAGGGTCATAACAATCTAATTTTTAATAGCAAAACTAGGAATGATATTGCTATGGTTTCAATATCCACACCAAAACTCAAGTTGAAATTTAATCCTCATTGTTCAATATTAAGAGAGGTGAGACTTTTAAACAAGTAATGGAGTGGAGTGGGGGCAGTGTTGTAGCATAGCAGGTAAAGCTGCCAACTGCAATGCCAGCATCCCATCTGCGTGGTGGTTCAAGACCCAGCTGTTTCATTTTCCTCTCCAGCTCCCTGTCAATGTGCTTGGAAAATCAGTGGAGGATGGGCCCTTGCATGCACATGGGAGATCCAGAAGAAGCTCCTGACTCCTGGCTTTGGCCTGGCCCAACCCTGGCTGTTGCGGCCATCTGGGGAGTGAATCAGCAGATGGAAGAGCTCTCTCTCTGTCTCCTCTATGTATTTCTTTTTTTTTTTTTTTAAGATTTTATTTATTTATTTGAGAAGTAGAGTTACAGACAGTGAGAGGGAGAGACAGAGAGAAAGGTCTTCCTTCCGTTCCCCAAATGGCTGTAATGGCTGGAGCTATGCTGATCCGAAGCCAGGAGCCAGGTGCCTCTTCCTGGTCTCCCATGTGGGTGCAGGGGCCCAAGGACTTGGGTAATCTTCTACTTCTTTCCCAGGCCATGGCAGAGAGCTGGATTGGAAGAGGAGCAGCCGGGACTAGAACCGGCACCCATATGGGATGCTGGCGCCACAGGTGGAGGATTAACCTACTGCGCCATGGCGCCGACCCCTGTAACTCTTTCAAATAAATAAATAAATCTTTAAAAAATATATATAACCAGGTAGCGAGAGGTCTGCCCTCATGAATGGATTAATCCATCCATAGATTAATGTATTAATGGGTTATATATACTGATATGTCAGTATAATAATGAGTATAATGTGATTCCCAGAATCCACCTGGGAATTTGTTAAAAACACAAATTATTGCCCTCCCCTGCCCCTGAGACCTGTATTAGAAACTCTGAGGGTAGGGCTCCCGAATCTGAGTTTTAACAAGCTCTCCAGCTGATCTCATGCACGCTAAGGGGTGAGAACCACCGGTTTGGAGTCGCAGATCAGTTTGATCTGGGCCTCCTGAAGCAAAGTCAGCAGAACCCACCTCGAGATGGCCGACCCAGGTGCTGTGTTGCCCTGGGGACCTGATGGCTGGCTTTGCAGGGCGCTGCAGGTAAACTGACCATCATCTCTCTAATATCTAACCCAGAATGGGTTAGAGCCCCTCCCCCCACATATACACACACAAAAGCTACTGTATCAACTACTTCATCAGTTCTAGAAATTTTTAAGAGGCAGATGTCATGATTTTCATTGTATGTATGAGCAATATGAACCCAGGGGGCGGGGGGAAGAGCCATGTTTGAGACCACATAGGGCACACTGAAAACTAAGATCCAGTCCACAGTTCCGGAATCTTCTGCTGTATCAGAGACAGAAGGTGAAGCTAAGAAAGCTCTCTGAGCCACAGATCTGCTCACAGTGGGAACTGGGGCCTGCCTGTCAGACCTCAGCATCTCTTTTGTCTCTTTCTCCTTTTACCAGGCTGCATGCTGCTCTCCAAGATCTCTTTCCATTCTGTTCCCTTTCAACCCTGTACTTGCTGTTCCTTTGGACACTTTACAGGAACCAGTGCATTCTGCTTCAGATCCTGCACATCAGTGGATGGCTCTGTGGGCAAGACCCCAAGCTCAGATTTACCCCCACTGGCTCTTTCTTGATGTCCCAGATCCGCTGAGAGAGTAGTCATTTGTAGCTAATTTACAGTTCTTGCCATCAGTTCCCATTGTTCCAAAAATCTCCATTAAGTTCCACTTCTTTCAACTAACCCACAAAAAGCAAGTGACTGGGCTCCTTTGGGAGAATATTTCTGAGGGCCTAGCAAGAAAAAGGCCTTCAAGGGGCCGGCGCTGTGGCGCAGCGGGTTAAAGCCCTAGTCTGAAGCGCCGGCATCCCATATGGGGGCTGGTTCTAGTCCCGGCTGCTCCTCATCCGATCCAGCTCTCTGCTGTGGCCTGGGAAAGCAGTAGAAGATGGCCCAAGTGCTTGGGTCCCTGCACCCATGTGGGAGACCCAGAGGAAGCTCCTGCCTTCGGATCAGTGCAGCTCCGGCCGTTGCGGCCATCTGGGGAGTGAACCAGCAGATGGAAGACCTCTACTTCTACCTCTCTTTGTCTTTCAAATAAATAAAATAAATCTTAAAAAAAAGGCCTTCAAATCCTAAGCCTCTATGTTTACTTACTTTTTTGTCCTCTCTTCCACCCTATAGACCACCTTACCTTCAGAATAAGTGTATTTGCTTCTAAAATATCCCACATTCGACTTCCTAATCCCATTATCTACATAAAAGACAAGTCTAGAGTGAGCTCCAGGTGCTTCAATCCTAATGGTTGACTGATATATCTTAATAACCTGAAGATAATTTAATGGAGAATTCAAGCTTTGTTGCCAACTTAGGGGAGACATTATCTGGGGTTGAGATATGGTATGTCTTTGTGATCATGGAGACAAACCAAGTCTGTGGCAGGGCATTGACACTGGAACTGTATCATTTTTCTTGGCTTCAATCCAACAGGTACAGTGGCAGTGGCAGTCTGAAGGCAGGCGAAAGCCCTAAGAACCTTGCCTTGTAATAAAAAAACTTGACTCCAGGGGGCACTGTACTCCACTACGGTGTCAGATCCCAAGGCTGTTACTGATTGGCTCCTTGTGTTCTGTGGTGTGAGGGAGGGTGCAGCTACAGACAGGGTTCTTGGTCCATACAGCTAACTGTGCAGCTGGGAAGGCAAACATTAAGGAATATTCATGACACTGATTACATTGGGAAATTCTGGCTGATAGGATTCTTTGATTTTTTCTCCTACTTTTAACTTCCTCAAACTTAAATTTAGTTTTAAGAGGGAAAGGTAGAAAGTGCTGTGAGTACATGTAATGTGAAGACCTGACCACCCAAAAGAGGTGATGTGGGCTCCAACCACATGTTGAGGTAGGGTCCTGCAAGGATTGTACAGCCTTGCAGATGGGGTCACACTTGGGGACAGCGGTAGAGAAAGTCCTGCAGGCATCAGGAGGGCCCAGTTAGTTGACCGTAAAGTCAGATGGGCACTTTATCCTACCCTGTTCTCTGAATGACATTATTAAGGCACCCAAGTTTGTCCCCAGTTTTACTCTGGCCTTCAGGTGGCTTCATAGCTAGGCCTGGGACTAGAACATTTAGCTTTCTTTATGGAAAGAAACAATTTTCCAGGGTGACAAATATACACGAACAGGGTGGGTTAGTTTCTGTTCGGTGGAAGTTACTCAGAATCCCTGGGAATGATGCTGACACCCATAACTGATTATGTCGTCAAGTGGCATTTTCCAGATGTTCTTTAATTCTTACAAGGATTCTATGACTTAGCTATTATCCCTCTCCCTTAATCAAACAACTTTTTTTTTTTAAATGACCAATGTAACACTATTCAAAACATAGTGAGTGACATGTATTTTTACCAGATAGCCTCTTCCAGCTCATTGCTGTCTAGTGGGGGCCTGATACCCTGCTGGACTGAGAACCTCCGAGCGTTAGGACCCCCCTCTGTTTAATTTCTCCTGTGTCTTTTTTTTTTATTATTTTTATTTATTTATTTTTTTTTTTTGACAGGCAGAGTGGACAGTGAGAGAGAGAGAGACAGAGAGAAAGGTCTTCCTTTGCTGTTGGTTCACCCTCCAATGGCCGCCGCGGCCAGCGCGATGCGACCGGCGCACCGCGCTGATCCGATGGCAGGAGCCAGGAGCCAGGTGCTTTTCCTGGTCTCCCATGGGGTGCAGGGCCCAAGCACCTGGGCCATCCTCCACTGCACTCCCGGGCCACAGCAGAGGGCTGGCCTGGAAGAGGGGCAACCGGGACAGAATCCGGCGCCCCGACCGGGACTAGAACCCGGTGTGCCGGCGCCGCTAGGCGGAGGATTAGCCTAGTGAGCCGCGGCGCCGGCCTCTCCTGTGTCTTAATAATCACCCAACTTGGCATAGGCCAGGGACTTAATGCATGCTTGTTGAAAACGAGGGCAAAGGAATGACCTGCTGCCCCTCGCCCAGGAAGAGGGAATGTGTGCTTCACAGCTTCTTATTTCCTGGAAGACGTGGCCTGAAGCAGAAAGGGTACTGCCCAGAGAACCTTGCAGTTCCAGTCAGTTCCTCAGTAACCCTCATGGAGGAGGAATGGCAGTATCCATCAATTAAAAAAAAAAAAAAAAAAAAAAAAGCTGGACACTTGTGTCCGCAGGTGGAATAAATCCGGATCCCCTTTCCTGGCTGTAGGTACTCAGCAAACACTAGTTACCCTCCAAGTGCGTGATCAGCGAAGGAACGCCCTGCTCGTGGGATTCGGGCCCCCGGGGAAGCCGGAGCTCTGCCGTGGCCTCGGCAGGGCAAGGACGACCAGACCCGGCTCCCTTCACAGCCGGGGGGCGCCCCAGACCCGCGCGTGGGCCGGAGGGTGGGCGGGGCCGCGCCGTTTACCTGCGGCCGGATTCCCCGCAAGAGACGGGCGCAGTGTGCGAGGCGGCACTTAGGAGCTCCTACGCGCAACAGACCTGGAGGGAGTGCCTGAGAGGCTACCTCGGGGATGCCGCGGAACGACTCCGAGAGAGCGGTTAGTCGCCCAACGCCGCGCTGGGCCGACTGACCAAGACGACGGGAGCGAGCGCGCGTGCGCGCCCGGCGCGAGACCCCGCCAAGCGCGCGCGAGCGTTCGAAAGAAAGAAAGAAAAAAAAAAAAAAGCCTTTCCCGTGGGGGCCCGCGGAAATTTAGGCCGGAGTCGGCTGGCGAGCGCGCGTGCATGAGCGCGCATCGACGCCCTCTGCCGCTCTTCTCCGCGGGGAATCGACCGCACTGCTCTGCTACCCCCGTCTCTCCCGAGGCTCTTGCTCTCGGGGTAACTAACTCAAAGAGAGGAAGGGAGAAGGCCTACCGAAAGAAGGAAAGAGGCGGAGAGGAATAAGGAGAAACCACCCCGGTGGCGTGAGGAGCCAGGTTCCTGGACTGGAGCCTGCACAAGACACGCCCCCATTCCTCACGCCCCTCGGGGCTGCGGAAGTGCTCTGGAGCGGCAAGGAAGGCGACAGACTACCGTTCCCAGAAGGCGGTGCGGTGGTACGCCTACAACTCCCGGCAGCACTTGCGCACCAGGCGCTGTTCAATTCGCGGCCTCTGAGGGCGAAACTACAGTTCCCAGGAGGCTTCGCGCGAAGCGGCTTGGAAGTGGGCAGCCTGGAAGTCACTCGGGCCACCGGAGCTGGCGGCGTCTCCAGCGAGCAGCGCGGGGCCGGACGCCGCGGTTGTGAGGCCCGCAGGGCACGCAGCGGGGACGCCCAGGTATGTGGCTCCAGGTGCTGGAGCGGCCTCGCGAAAGGGTGGCGAGGAATAGGTGGCTGCTTGGACCCTGAGGGTCAGCGCGGGCGGGCGACCAGGCGGACGGCCGGGTGTGGGTACCGGGTGTTGGGGGGCGGCGGCGCCGGGATTCACGCCCTCCGGACCCGGCCGGACTAGTGCCCCTATGGCTCAACTTTCCAGACGTGCAACCTGGCGCCGTAGGGAAGAGCCTGGAGTCAGGGGGCGGTGGGTTCGCATCCCGGCTCTGCTGCTCGGGAGCTGCGACCGCGCTGAACCTCAGTTTTCCCTTTGCTAAAACGGGGAAGGAGAGTGATGGTCTTCTGCCTGGGATTCTGTTGAAATGTTGAGATCCGACCGAGCATATGGCACATACAAGGCACTTATTATGGGTTGGCTTTATTGTCAGCTCCCGGAGAAAGGGGGTGACGATACCGATTGCATAGGGTGGACGGTTAGGTGAGCCGTGTGTATTGTAAAGAGCCAAGTTCGTAGTTAGCACTCACTGCAGGGTAGCCGCCTGAGTCGACAGAGCTTTGGTTTGGGAGGCAGAGACCCAGTTCAAATTTAGGCTCTGGCATTTAGCAGCTGTGTGACCCTGCGCAGCTGACTGCACTTCTCTGTGCCTCGCTTTCTCTGCCTCTGTAACATAGGGGCTTTAAAATAGCAGCCACCGCAGCGTGCTCGGAGGATGTAGTGAGGAGACTACGTGTAAAGTGCTGAGCACAGCAGCGGGCATAATAGCGCTCAGCAAATGGTACAATTTATTCCGCGTTTTCCCGGCGCCCCGCAGACCCTCCGCGGGTGGAACGCTGGTTGGAGTCTTGGTGTCCCCAAAGGACCGGACTCAACTGGTCCCGTTGGCTTCCCCTCCTGCAGCCTGAAGTTCTTCATTTATAAAATGAGATAACGCATCACCCTCGGAAGGTTGTGGGATTTGCCGGGATTGTGTTCCTACTCCAGAGGCAGCTCTTCTGTAGGGGCATTGCGATCGTTCTGTGGTATTCTCCATCTGGCCCAGGCTCTGCCTGGCCGTGGGCTGGGACGTGACAGCCCTGAGCTCCCCCACACGTTTGCTCCCAACCTCAGTGTCCCCATCTGTGAAATGGTAGTCGGAGGACTTGCATGCCAGCGTTGTTTGGATGATTCCAGGAGGTCGTTCTTGTTTAGCACTGAGCACGGGCCTGACACCGGGTAATTTTTGAAATGTTGTAAGTGTGCCTTTGTGTGATGGGCCTTTTTCTGCTTCTGTTTGCACCTACAGTGCCCAGTGGGGACAAGGTTAATGTTGCCCCCTCCCCCAATTCTTACTCATCAGCAGTTAAATTTGGGAACAGTGGAAGGGCCCAAGGAGAGGAGATGCTGACCTGCTGTCAGCCCCCCACCCCCAGCCCCACGCCCCGTCCCTTCCACACCAGGATGTTCATTCATTGCAGTGCTGTCTCTGTCCCAGTGCTGCCAGTCCCTGTGTGTCTCAGCCACACCAGCCCCCTGGGTTCCATCTCGAGATGCGGAGACTGTACTTCCTCTGTGCCCTAGATGGCTATCCTTGGGGCACTGCACACTGAACATACCCAACCTGAACTCCCCTCCGCCGCCACACCTACTAGTCACCATCTTAGCAAGTGGGCCAACACTGAGCAGGTTGCCCAGACCAGAAATTAGGAAGTCGCTCTTCTTCCCCAGCCTTCCCACATCCAGTTGAGTGGCAAGAAGGATGGAATAGCCATTTCATTGGCCTATATTGGTCTCGATTATGACAGCAGGGAAAAATGCCCCTCAGCTCCTGGAGTGGCCTTTTCAGATAAGCTTGAGTTGTTTCTCTTAAATTGCCAAGGATTAACATAGGCAACCATGAGTAGCATGTGCATTAACCAGGGGCAGAGAAGAGCACACATGCAAGGCCACAGATGCGGCAGAAAGGCCTGGCTTCCAGGGGACCCGTTGCTACAGTTTTAGCCTGGTAAAGATGGGCTGAGTGGTTAATTTCTTTCTGAAAAATTATACTGTGTCAGCGGGTTCGAATATCCTGTACGGGAAGATGGCCATCCCAGGCGTTTCAGGAGGCAGGCGCACACAGCTGAGAACAGGCTGGGAAGAGGATTTATTAGGCCTCCATTAGGTTGAATCTGTGCTCAGAAACCTGTCATTGTGATTTTGTCTGATGATGGAAACCTGTGGTTTCAAGCAAATCTGTGATGGCCGCCAAATTTAAGGTTTTTCTTTTTTTTTCCCCCCCTGTGTTTTGGGTTTTTTTTTAATCCGAGGAACTAAAGCAGTGTCTTAAAAAAAAAAAAAAAAAACTATTGGTTGGTCTCAATTGTTAGTGACAACAGCACATGGTTTTTAGGAGGCTGGAATAGTCTAAGAGTTTAACGTGAGCCTGTTTTTGCAGACATTGCAGTTGTTAGGTGGTAAATCAAAAATGAAATTTAGAATGTGTGGTGACTGGCCCCTTTTGCTGCAAGATATTAATTTGCTGGTATATTTCAAAATTAGCTTTAATAACTTAAACTCTAAATGTATTTATATATTAGGAGAATGCAATAGTCACTTCCTTTAAAGTATCTCTTTTTCGCTGTTAGAATGAAAGGATGTCGGATCAGTTTGTGTGCTTGTGTTTTCTTTAAGATTACTTTTTAAGACTATCCTGGTCATGGCCTTTACCTGTTTGTATGTGTGTGTGATTGGGTTGAATTTGGCTTACAAAAGTTGCTTACAAGAAACACATAATGTGTGTCCTGGCACTTTGTAAAAATTTATAATTTTTTATCTGTTCAATATAAAATTTAAAAATTTTAAAGACTTATTTTATTTGAAAGAGTTAGAGGTAGAAGCAGAGAGAGGTCTTCCATCTGCTGGTTCACTCTCCAAACAGCCGCAGCGGCCTGAGCTGAGCCCATCCAAAGCCAGGAGTCAGGTGCTTCTTCTGGGTCTCCCACGTTGGTGCAGGGGCCCAAGGACTTGGGCTGTCCTCTGCTGCTTTCCTAGGCCATAGAAGAGAGCTGAATCAGAAGTGGAGCAGCTGGGACTTGAACTGGCACCCATATGGGATGCCTGGCGCTGCAGGTCAGGGCTTTAACCTGCTGTGCCACGGTGCCAACCCCAAGAAAAAAATTTTAAATGTGTGCCGAACAATGTAGTGATGTTAAGGGAAAATAAGTGCCATCCCCAAGCCCCTGCTTTGAAACCCCTTGCCCCCGGAGATAACCATTTATTCAAAAAGTGTGTATTAAGTATCTGCTGTCAAGCTTCAGGGATTTCAGGGTGAGCAAAACTGACACGCGCTTTGCTTTGGCACTTAGGATGAGTGTTTTCCATTTTTTTTCTGTGTCCATATTGATATATATTTGCATATGTCAAATTATTTTCTTCCTCCTACACCATTCCCAAATAAAGGAAGAGTAGAGATCAAGCTGCACATACTTGTAACCTGATTTTTTCAGGTAACAATTGAGTGTATCTCATCAAGTCATTACATAAAGATCTAACTCATTCTTTTTAAGAATGTACCCATATTTTTTTGTATGGCGAGACAGTATTTTATCTTATTGTTTCCCTAGTGCTGGCCATTTAGTTTGTTTTGGAGATTTCTTTTCCCTTAGCAAACACACATCTACTAAGCATCCTGAATAGCATCAGCAGTGTGGCATAGTAGGGGAAAACAAACTCCGGGGCTGTGTGGCCTGCAGCGTTCAGGATTCAAATGCTCTGTACTAGTTGTGATACTCAGGCAAGTCATTTGTCCTTCTGGGCCTCCGTTTCCTCATCTAAACATGGAAATGATACCAGTACCTTCCTCACGGAGCAGCTGTTGAGAGAGGATCCAGTGAAATCCGCTGTGTCAGGCTTGCAGGGCAGGGCCTGGTATAGCTGTTACAGGTGATCTTTCAAACCTGGAGTCACTCCGAGCTCTGTAGGGCAGGGCTCATAGAAGACTCAGAGCCGTAATTGAAAACACCAGGTAGAAATAAGAACAAGTTACAAAGCAGGGATCCAGCGTGGTGATGCTAGAGGTCTGGGGGGAGGGACCCAACTGCCCTGGAAGGAAGGGAGGAGATGAGTGGAGAAGGGAAGTAGAACAAGTGAGGTGGGCTGGCCACTGGCCCCGGTGGCGTGCGGGGCTGGTTGTGAAGCGTCCATGAGAAATACCACTCCTCGTATTTGCAAGAAATGTGTAATGGTGGGAGGGCGGCTTAGGTGGCAGACAGATCTGAGTGGCAGGGACCCAGGTACTTGGGCCATCAACTGCTGCGTTCCCCAGTGCGCCAGTAGGGAGCTGGATCCAAAGTGGACTAGCCGGGACTTTGAGCCCGCACTCCGACACGGGAT